AACCAAAATTTAAAACCTGCATCCGCCCTACCAGGAAGAAAGTTGTTATTTCCAAATATCGGAGTAAACCTAGACAGTTGTATCATTTCTCCCAAGTAGTTATGCATTTCAAACCAGATCATTATAGTGTTTTTTAGAAAGGGGTTCTTAGTTTGCTCATTTAGTGTCTTCCTGTCGGCTGAGTAAAGATATAAGTTAGGGGTAATTTTGATTTCTGTAGACTCCTAGAAACCCACACTGGAATTTGCTCATTAACAAAATAAAACATTGCCGCTCTGATTTGAGCAGCCCAGAAGTACCACTTTAAATTTGGAAGTTGTAAACCCCCTCTTTCATAAGGGAGGTATAATAATGAGATTCTGAGTCTTGGTCTTCTGTTATTCCAAATAAAGTTTCGGAATAGTTTATGCAAATCTAAGAAGAAAGAGTTTGGTGGAGTGAGAGGTATTGATTGAAAAAGGTAAAGATATTTTGGCAAAATTGACATTTTTAGTATATTAATACGACCAATTAAAGATATAGGTAGTTTCATCCATCTGTTTAGAAGTGCAGTAACTGGCGTCGTTAAGGAATTATAATTGGATGCCAGAGTATTTTCAATTGTGTGAGTTAATTTCACACCCAGATAAGTAAACCCATGTTTAGAAAGGGAGTATTGATTGGAGGATATTGTCGTTCATTTTTATTCAAAAATATTATTTCGGATTTATCAAAATTTATTTTATAACCCGAAAATGTACTAAATGTATTAATGAGACTTAATATGGATGGTATTGATTTGTTTAAATTAGTGCAGAACAGGATCACATAGGGCATAGGGCAATACAGTGGTCAGCATTGCCTACTTTAATTCCTGATATGTTTTTATGATTCCGAATTGCCATCGCAAGAGGCTCAATTGCCAAGGTGAACAAGAGAAGTGACAAGGGGCACCCTTGTCTAGTTCCACGATATAATCTGAATGGTGCGGAAAAAAGACCATTAGTTAAAATGTCTGCTTGAGGGTTGGAGTATATCAACTGAATCCATTTAAAAAATCTATTTCCAATACCAAACTTTTTCAAAACTTCAAATAAGAATGGCCATTCGATCCTGTCGAAGGCTTTTTCCGCATCCATTGAGATTAAGGCATTGTCTCTGGTCTTTTTTTTCACATAAATGATATTCATGACCCTCCGTATATTGTGAAACCCCTGCCTCCCCTGGATAAAGCCATTCTGGTCTGAATGAATCATTTTAGGCAAGCGTGTCTCTAATCTCATAGCTAATAGTTTGCAAAGTATCTTGTAATCATAATTCAACAGTGAGATTGGTCTATAAGAACTACAATGTGTTGCTGGCTTATTAGGTTTCAGTAACAAAGTAATTGTTGCAACATTAAGTGAAGGGGGGAGAGACCCAGATTCAAATGATTCCTGATACATATTCAATAAAGGCTGGATTAATTTTCTTTAAATATTTTAAATATTTCTATTGGTATTGCGTCAGGTCCAGGAGTTTTGCCCCCTTTCATGTTCCTTGAATTATTTGCAGGAATTGAAAAAGTAATTTTCTTGACCTATCAACATTTGCTATCATTATTATTATTATTATTATTATTATTATTATTATTATTATTATTATTATAAATAGGTGCAGCCTACTCAGACTTACAGTAAGCTTATAGTAATTCTCTCCATAATGTTAGTAGATTATAATACACATTCCTTTGCTCCGTAGTGATTTACATATACCTAACAAGCAAAAGATGGAAGGTTCGAGATCAGGAGGGCACTCTTGGCGGTTGTGTCTGACCTAAAACTCACAATCTTTCTAACTATGATTCTATGTTCTTTACGAAAAACAGCAAGTGAACAAGATAAGATAAAATAAGATGTTATTATCATCTTTGCTTTCAGAAATGATGATCCAGACTATAATCTGTTAAATGATTTAATAGAGGAAGCAAGGAAGCAACTTTCCTTTAGATAATTCGACCAGCTCGTATTGTGGGTAGCATGCATATACTACTACTGCACTCACTTAGGGACCTTTATGAGTAAAACTGATTGTTCGAGCACACCCAACATATCAGGAAATAAGGTTGTGTGAGATGATCAGAAAGTCAGTTTGGAATCCTAGCCTCTTATATCCCAATACATTCTTACAACTTACTGAGTAGTAAGAATGTATATTAAGATGTGATGACGATGATTTAAATTTCTGTTTTGCTCATTTTACAGGCGTTAAGATCAATGCAAACGCACTAAGTGAGTATTTTCATTCATAACCATCTTGTGTGGGAGTTTTAAATATTGAGGATTAGAGCAATGTTTGTAATCATGCACATTTAAGAACCAGTGAAATGTAATTTATAACTAAACAGATTTCTGCAAATTAAAACTTCTTATATTGTTTTGTATTACATAGGGCTTTGTTAAATGTTACAGCAATTGTTTGCACATTTGTCACAATCAAAGATGTAGCATGATTTGAAACGATCCAGACCTAAATGTCTGTAATCAGGTTTGTATACTGTTTACTGATTTTTGTATTGATGTCATTTTACCACTTAAAACAGCCTCATTAAGAAACAACATGAAGCACACTGAGTACGCTATCTGAAAAATTTTGAGGAAAAAAAATCCCTTTCACGAATAAAGATGTTAACTGGTAAAATGTAGGAGAAAAAAAATATTATGTTGAATAAAGTTCCGTTGAAACCAAGCACACCATTGTTTTTCTTGTGACATTACCAATAAGTTTGATGTGTCACATGGCCCTCTTCTTGTATCCAAGATGGCCGACTTCTAAATGGCCACCATGGTCACCACCCATCTTGAGGAGTTTGCCCCCTTACATATACTAATGTGCCACAAACAGGACTTTAATATCACCAACCATTCCCATGTTACTACGGTGTATCCATATAAATGGCCCACCCTGTATACTATGCAAATTTTGCCACAAACTGGTCACCACCACAGTCTCAAACACGGAAAACCTCTTCTACCAGATACACAAGAATTACTTGAAAGAGTATGCAGAGAATTTACAGATGAGAAGCAAAAAAGTGCTGTCAGGTGCTAAAAAATAAACCTTAAAGTCAGATGTTATAACAGGCTTTTCCCTGCAGCACGCCATGTAATAAATACTAACAAAGAAAATGGCGGCCGTTACAACTTATGTCTAAAACTGTATAGTTTCATGCATCTGTCAAAACAAAGCAAAGCTAGAAATCTAGAAATTAAAAGCATTGCCACTGTATATCCAGCTGATATTTAGGTCTGCTATTTGTTAATCTCAGTTGTGTTTTTTGTTTGCTTTCCATTATAGGGCAACATAATAACAACAATGAATGTCATGTTTCTTTGGGGGATTTTAAACAGAAGAAATCATTTGAGGACGAGGCTGGCAAAAACATTACTCTTCCATGTCTTCCAACTTTCAAGATCAATGAGGTTGAGGATTCGTTAGAGTGGTTTAAAGGCAATGAAAGAATTGTCTTCATTAAGTTAAAAACTGTAAATTTTGTGCATGAAAAATACAAGGACAGAATAAACCAGTCTGCCCTCCTTGAAGAACTGTCGAAAGGAACAGCCTCACTAAACCTCCATAAAGTAAATCTATCAGATGCAGGAAACTACTGCTGCTGCATTTACCATAAGAAATTATCATGCATTGGCCTGACTCTTGGTAAGAACTTTAAACCTTTAACCTTTTCAATAAAATGATAACAATATATTAATTTCTAAAATTGAGGGCACAAGAAGTTTAACAGCTTTTTAAATACTACTACCAGAATCAGTTTTAATGTTTCAACCATGTTTGCTGAGATATAACAGCAATAGGTGAATTCTGTATTACAAATAAAATTTCATGTGATAGCATGCTTATAAAGTAAAACAGTGGAATTTTGATACTATATTCTAATGTTTTTCTCAATGGAAAAAAAAATCATTGAGCTTTTGACTAGATTTTGACTAGACTGCCTATTTAGATTTAGATTAGAATGTAAAGCTGCAAACACAGGTGACATTTCTAACTCTGTTATAGTGGCTTAGGGTGAACAAGTCCTGGACATTTTTCCAAGTGTTGATAATATGTATGTGAATAACTTGAATTCTATGCTGATATTTTGTCCTACAGTTATAAAGGAAAAAGCGAGACAAAGCAGCTCAAGTAAGATCATGGAAACTGTTTTTCTGAAAATACAATGAATTTACTAAAAAAACAAAGATTTTCTCTTCACAACATTTGCTGATGTGAACTTTAAAGTTAGTTTAATGTATACAATGATGCCAGGTCTCTCTTGGAAATGAGATTTGAATCTCAATTAGAATTTTACGTGGATAAATAAAGGATAAATTAATAATTAGGCACCCTGTTATTATCTTGGGAACTGTTTTAACCTGTAGAGTTTAAGCATAATTGAATATAGGTGATGATAACATTTACAGGTAATTTCTTTTTTCATACCAGTGTGTGGCCTTCTAAGCATGTCTGCTGTAAATTTTCTTTCTTTTTGTGTGGAAATTCAATAGGTGAGAGATATGATCAGACAAATGCACCCATGACCAATCCAATAAATGGTGAGTAAATTCTCTGTTGCTTTAGATTCAATTCAATTTTATTTATATAGCACCAAATCACAACAAAAATCGCCTCAAGGTGCTTCATAGATATGGAGAAAAACCCAACAGTGATATGACCCCTATGAGCAAGCACTTTGGCAACAGTGGAAAGGAAAAACTCCCTTTTAACAGGAAGAAACCTCCGGCAGAACCAGGCTCAGGGAGACGCGGTCATCTGCTGCAACCGGTTGGGGTGAGAGAGGGAAAACAGGATGAAAGACATGCTGTGGAAGAGAGACAGAGGTTAATAACAGATATGATTCAATGCAGAGAGGTCTATTAACACATAGGTCGTGTCCAAATTCATGGGCTGCATCCTCCTGAGGCCGCATTTGTAGACTGATTACGTCACAGCGATGCGCCGAAGGCTGTCCAAATTTGTAGACTCCTCCGAATGCAGCCGACAAATGCGTCCTCCTTTTCCCCGAATTTGAAGGATGGGTCGGGTGTGTCCTTTGTGGCCTACCATATCCCAGAATTCATAGCGCGGCCCGCTACTAAGTTTTAAAATTACTCTTACTAATCTTTCTGGGTCACAAAATAAACTTTTAACCTATTTTCAGGCGAGAAAGTACCTGTGTAAACATCAAATATCTGCTCGGTTTATCAAGATATCGCATATTTGCAAAAGTGCTTCGACGTTTTCGGAGACGTCTGTTACCCACCA